TGTAAATTATAAAATAAATGTACTTATTTTCAAATTAAAATATTTAATTAATTTAATAATTTCTTTGATATTAATCAAAAGTATAGATTAAAAGATGTGTAAATAATATCTTCCCACGTTCTGCATGTATGAGCCGAGTGGATTTACACTTGGTTTCAGTGGGAACATATTTTTGAGTTGGAAGTTCGAGTTCCGGTGATTCTCTTTCCTTGTCTCTCTTAACATAATAAGTTTGATCGTAATTTGTTTAAAAAAAATTAATATCTTCCCACATATGTGTAAATCAACGTGGAAGAAACTCTTATTTACACGAAGCCATACATATTTAGCGAAAGGTAGGTTTCTCTAGAACATGAAGTTGGATGGTAATTAAACTGATGGTACTATTTAGCATCTTCCTGTAATTTCTTTAAGTGGATTGTTAAATGGGTTCTACCCTCTCCTCCTTCGATTAGGGGTGGGCAAAAATCAATTTCGGTTAAAATTGAAATTGATTTTAAAATAATCAAAAAAAATTTTCTTTGATTTTGAAAACTAAAATTGAATCAAAGTTTTTACAAACTGATTGGTTCGATTACTAATAAATTAGTTTGGTTTCTATTTTCACTAAATAAATATAAATTAATTATTTTTTAATAATAAATTATATTTTATCTCATATTTTATTATATTTTATTATAATTTGTTATATTTATCCAAATTTCAATTTTCAAGCGACTTACTTTTAATTTTCAATTTTTAAAAAGTTTAATCAAAATTAAACTAAAATTTATTCAGTTAATATTAAAATCAAAACAGTAAAAATTAAAAACCATTGAAACCAAACTAAATTCATTTTTTTTTTTTGTCGATTTCTGAATAAGCCATCGATTTGATTTCAAATACCCAACCCTACGGCTTCAATGTCACATCCCCACGTTCTTTAGATATTATTTATTTTTTAAAAAATGAGTTGGTAAAGAATAATAGTGATGGTTTAACATAATAATAAGCCTTGGTGATGACTTTTAACCCAACTGCCATCCTCCCACTTGTAGTTAACTAAAGAGGACCAAACATCTACAACACATCATCATAGATTACTTCTGGAAATGGAGTACTCTTTTCTTTTCCAGGATGATGGTATGAAGTCTATTGCCTCTCTGGGTGATCGAAACTCAAAAATCAAAAAGGTCATTCAATGAGAAATGCATAGTTCCCCTTGAAGTTTGGGCAAGGGAGAACGGATGGGGAGGGAGCTTGTTTTCTATTTTGGTGCGGCATGATGATCCACATTTATTTTATTTGGGATGTGTTCCCAGTTACCATGGATATGGTTCATACATAAATCTTATTGTTTCCTATATGCTATAACTGAATTGCATAAACCACTATCTTATTAAGTAATGTGCTATAATTTTGACAATTAAAACCAAAAACAGCAACGATACCAAACAGGGCCTAATTTGTTTGATAAATTATTTAAGTTCTAATGCTTGAATATTATCCTCACACAGTGAATGTTTGCATCTTTTGGTCTAGAGATAGCTATCTTTGGGAAAGATCTTATCATTTAGTTGTTTATGTATTTGGATAGAATAGTTTAGTAAGTATTTGGAAAGCTTTGTTTGTCCTGCAATGCCAATTGACACTGCTCTTGGATGATTTGTAATCTAATTTATGCATAGTTGAGGAAGACTCCATAAAGAAATATTTAATTTTATATAAGAACCATTCATCCCCCATTAATTTATATTTTCTATCTTTTTCAATATGCTTAGCCTTCTCTTGCAGGAAATTCTGGAGCATACAAATGATTAATCAAATCTAATGCTCTTCAACAAAACAAGTGAGAGAAGGTTAGATATATCTCCTATCCCTCTCTGCATTTTCTTATGAAAGCACTTTTAATGCTGATACCTGTTAGGTCTCCTGTCATGAATCTAAAGCAAGTGAAAAGACTTAAAGATCATCATTTTTCAACAATAATGCCATAATGCTTCCTTTCTAATCAACTAAACAAGATTTTATTCAACTTCTTGGTCTAAGTTTGTCTTACGGTCATATTGCCCCAAACTGCCCGAACTGTCACGGGATCTTCGGCTTCTCAGAAGGGAAGTTTGCATTTAACCTAAAACAGATGTATTTAATTCACATGCTTCTTTGTTGTTTTTTCAATGTAGGATTTCTAGAGAGTCAGATTCATGTACTGCAAAATACCATTTCCTATATTTCTGTCAAAACTTCGCCTCTACAATTCAATCTCTTATTTCTCAGAAGACAACTCATTCCTTGAAATATAATGATTTTCACGACCATTGATACAAAATCAAAAGAATGGAACCGATAATCGCCAGACCTTAATATCACAGTCTAAACTGCCGCTATAAACTAGATAATCAGAAGTACTAGAATCAGAAACACCTTTGCTATTGCTACTATCAACAGCAGCTGCTAAGCACTTAACTGGCCGTTGGTGTCCTTCCAAAACTGCCAAACAAGCATAGCTCCTGTCAATTCTTTTCCTCCAAATCCGAACTGTTTTATCTGCAGATCCACTGCACACTAAATCTATCACAACAGCCAAGCACAAAATTGCCTGCGTATGTCCTATGATATCACCCACCAGCACCATATGGCTATTGCCACCGTCACTAAAATTACCATCTCTCTCCCACACAAGAATTGATCGATCAGATGCCCCGGAGTAAAGTACAGTGCCATCGTTACTTAGAGCTAAGGCATTCACAGCTGACTTGTGTCTCTCCAATGTTGCTATCAAGGAATGCTTCTTCTCTCCTGCATGCCTTTTCCACGCCTTGATTTTATTGTCCGCAGAACCTGTGTAAACAAATCCATCTTTGGACAATGCTATGGTGCTGATGGCATCATCATGTGCATTTCCAACGGATTCCAGGCACCTGAAATCAGAGGTTCTCCAGATTTTGAATGTCTTATCCCAGGAAGCGGAAAAAAGAAGGGAACCATCTCTTGATACTGCCAGCGCAGATACTGTGTCAACATGGTGTACCCAGGTTTTTTCCTTGTGACGCCGGACCCGTACGTAGTTATTTGGTGAGAAACATCTTAGGAATTGATCATTCACAGTTGGAAGAGTGCCTATGCTTTTGTACTTCTGGTGTAGATCATTTCCAATTTTCCACACACGGATTTTGTTATCTTGGTGGGCACTGAAGAGTTTATCCTCAGAAATTACTAGGGACTTGACTGCACCGCTGCTAGAAGCTATTATGTTATCGGTTGGATGGTTGTATGAAGTAGAAGAATCTCGGTTCCAGGCTCGTATCTCACTGTTTAAGGAGCCGCTGAAGAGGAATTTCCCGCCAAGAACAAGGGAGAACACATAAGATGTGTGGCCTTTAAGGGTAGCTTTGCACATATGGTGGGTTTTTGTGGCTTGTTGTTCTTGTTGTGAAGACGATGAATTAAGGGAAGGAACAGATGGGAGGCTTGGTTGGGAGGAGATGGATGAAGTCGATGATTCTGAATGAAGATGATTAGAGTTAGACTGAGATTCATTGTCTCTGTGGCAAGACAAATGACATGGGAGCAGGCCCATTTTTCCTCTCAAGAAGAAGAAAGGTAGAAGACTATATGGCAATTGGGTTTTTGTCAAACATGTTCCTTCAGGGATCAACAAGGGAGGCCTATTTAAAGAAAAATAGTGGGAAATTTGGCACTTTTTCTTAAAATGTACAATGATGGTTTATATAATAAAAAATAACTTTTCTCACTTATCCAAAATTTCGAACATGAGATCACCAATGTGGAGGCTCAACTTCTTGACCACTAAAGAAAATTGGCATGGTAAGCAAGCATATATAGGTTTTTTTTTTTTTCAGAACATATGATTTTCCCATACCATTTCTGAGACAAAACCAGATCCTTCCACAAAAGGGTCCCTGGATAAAAAGTTTTTTGCAATTCTCAACTTTTTGCTTTGCCCTTATTTTGGTACGAAAGAACATTTTAGTATGTAATTAATATGTTCTTTCTTGCAGGGGACCACCAACTCAATGGATTAATCCACTAATGTTTAAGACAAGTAACTCATGTTTATAGTATGAATCAGCTTTCCTATTCATGGATCATATATGCATGTCTTCATCTTTGTTTTTGAGTGGTTTTGAGGAATGATGATGGAAATTTCTAGATGTGTGCTGTGTAGAGGTTGGAGTTTCCTCATGGACTGATGTAAGGGTTTGAATCTTCTATTAATGTTTGGGACCAGGTCACGCCCAAGTTGGTAGTGGTTGTGAAGAAGAATGCAAAGCCTTATCATGTATTCCACAAGATATAGAAAAGTGGGTGCAAAAGAAAGAAACTAAAGGAAAGAATATTGTTAGTTCATACCTAAAATGGTTTTCTAAAATGGCAGGATTCAGTTAACATTTTGGTTGTAGAAAGGACAAATTATAAATCTATGACAATTATTTGGTTCATTCATAATAGTCTTATATGTTAAGTCTTATACGATTGGTCTTATTTTCAAACTAAACACAATTAAAATTATAAGATATTTGTCACTTACTAGAAAAGAGTCACTTACTAGAAAAGAGTTTTTAATCGACAGAAAATTTTGTCAGTTATACAAAAAATTTTATTGATTACACCTATAATTGACAGAAAAAACTGTCGAATAAATGTGTGTTGAAAATAAGTATAATCGACAAAAATATTTTCTATTGATTACACATGTACAATCGATAGACATGACTATCAATTATGTTGGTATTTGATTAAAAAAATTAAAAAATAATTTTACATTTATTATTAAATTATAAATATTAACCAAAATATATGTAAAATAATCACGTGTTGCAATAATATGTATGTATATATAAAGATAAATCTACAAAAACTAATTGAAAAACTAGAATATTTTGCAAATATTATGAAAATAATGAAAAAAAAAAGAAGAAGAAAGAAATTGAAAGTATAAATCAAAAGTAGTATTAGAAATTATCTCATAATATGATTTCAACCTTAAGAACCTACAAAAGAAAAAAAAATGTTATTAGATCAAACATAAATAATTGAATAATACAGAAACTAAAATAAATGGAAAAAAAAAAAAAACCCAAGACTTAGAAAGGTAGAAGGAATTGAAAGGAAAAAGCGAAGTAATGTAAAAATAATAAAAGAAGAAGAAGAGAGGTAGCTAGAAAGGGAAAAGATCAAGAATTAAAATGGTAGAGTTTAGGGAGAAGGGAGAATGAAGAAAGTTAAAAAAGAAAAAGACAATGAAAGATTTAGAAAGGTAGAGGAAAAAAAAGAAGATGAAGCAAGGTAAAAGAGAAAAATGGGGTATGCACATATGTAGAAAAGGGAAGGAAGATGAGAAATTTTGGAGATGAGATGATAGAATGTTTGAAGATTCTGTTTCTGGTTCCATTTATATAAAGAAAGTATAATCGATAACATTTTTGTCAATTATATTTTATTGATTATATTTTGAATTTATTACATCGTAAAATTCAAATTTTTTTTGCTAGATGAGGCGAGATACAAGTATAATCAATATAATTTCTGTTAATTATACTTACATAATCAACAGTCAATAGTAGTTGTTGGTTATGTCAAAATTTTCTATATATATATATATTAACACTATCAAATATGAGATTATTTTTAACTAATATTATACACATATATATTTTGATTAAATTATCAATTCTACTACTAAATATTTATAGTTAATTTAGTTATTATATATACATGAAATAAATAAAATATTAATTAAAAATAATCCCACATTTGATAATGTTAAATTTTTATTATCAAATTTATAATTTAGAGACATATAATATATTTATAAATGCTACTAGTGGATGATTAGATATTAACATATATATATTCCTAAAATTTTAACATAATCAATAGTCAATAATGACTATCGATTATATTTATATAATCGACACTTTATCATAATCAATAAAATTTTTGTTAATTATATAAATATAATCGATAATTTGACTGTTCGATTATATTTTTATCAATTAAATATTATTTTTAGTAGTGTTTGACAATAAAATATTGATACAGTGTTAAGATATTAAAATAGAGTAACGCGATGTTCTTGATTTGAATTGGTTCATTCCATATCATTAAAAAAAGATAACATC